TGCTCAAATCAGGACCTAATCCCCAACTAAATCATCCCAGCCAGGGCTTTGTCAAGCCTGACTTAAACCTCTAAGGAAGGAGATTCCACCACCTCCCTAGGTAACCCATTCTAGTGCTTCACCACCCTCCTAGTGAAAAATTGTTTCCTAATATCCAACCTAAACCTCCCCCACTGCAACTTGAGACCATTACTCCTTGTTCTATCATCTGGTACCACTGAGAACACAGATTCTTTAATAAGAATCTGATCAGTTTCACAGCTATTCAGAACCTTATGCACAAGAGTGACACTTTTAAGAACCATATGCAACTTGGGCAAACTATAGGTAGCACCACAGGCAGGAACTAGAGTTATGACACAGGAGGACCATCCTCTCCTTCCCCCTGAAAAAAATAGGCTGGGAGCTTTGGGGCAGCAGTCCTCTTTCCCTCTTTGCACCATCCAGAAAATTCTGGGAGAAGACAAAAGTAACAAGGACCTCTTTCCAACCACATTGGCCAGGAAGGTGAGTTAGGGTAAAGTAGTTAAAATCTTCCCCTCATGCCCTACCTTGTAATTACCTGTAGCCCCTGGAGGGAATGGAAAAGGAGATGCAGATTCAAATTTCAGACCTACCAGTAACCAGAGGCTGATGGGAGAGCTGGAGGTCCCTCTAAGTAAGGTCTAGAGACAGCACACTAACAAAAATTCTAGGACCTGATGGGGCAGAAAAGAAAAGCTGAGATTCCTAGCAAGGGTGGTGCTGCTTCAACACATTCTTCTCTGTTTTTTGTTTGTTTGTTTAACTCCAGCAGCTAGTATGTCTGGTTATTTTTTTTCAAAACCTGAGTAAAAGTAGTGACATTTCTGCAATAAGACTTTACACTACAGCAACCTATTAAATTCTTGCTAAAAATTGGGGAGAGTGCCTGTCACAGCCCTGGCTAAGTTTCTCCATCGTGATCAGAAAAGAGACTGCTGTACTGGACCCAACCTTTGGATATGGCCTACTAGGTCTGAGCAACATCTTCGCAATCTCTAAATCCAGCCTCTCTGGCACACTCCGGGGGTACAGACCCCTGTCTAGTAGCCCTCCTAGGGATATGGGACCCCATAGTCTAGCTGCCCTAGGCCCAAAGACCAGTACTGACACCACAAGCCCCCCTGATAGTTTTATTATGCCATCCCCAGAGCTCCACCCTCATGGGTATCTGGTTTACAATTTAACTCCTCAGGGACGACAAGACAGTTAAAGCAAGTAACAGACTTTGCATAGGAACTTAACTATTCACTTTACGTAGAGTCAAGCACATGAGTTACAGATCTAAGCAAAAACAACCAACAGCTGCACTCATGACCCTCCCTCAGTTTCATCTTTCCTATGAGGCTTTTGGGTCTTGGTGAGTGTCCTTCAGATCCTCCTGACCCATCTCCTCCTGCTCAATCTTCTCTTCTTAGCCATAGTCTCCCTTTTACACACAAGCCCTCATGCATATAAGTAGTTTTGATCATGAGTCCCGCTGTGAGGTCCCAATGTCCCAGCCATGCTGAACTCACATGAACAGTCCCCTTTGTTTCAGAGGAGAGATGGAGCCAATTTAGTCAGGAGCAAGTCAAACCTTGGGAGCAAGCAGGATGTCTCATTAAGTGTTTTCTCATCTTGGGGAGAGCTTCAACTCCTCCTTCTCTTGTTATACATTACAACCAGGCTATATGTACACCAGTTTAAACAAGCTCTTACATAACACAAAATAGAGTCATATAAAAAATGGAGGTTCTAATCTACAATGTGGGGTACAATCATAATTTTGTTTTGAGAGTATAATTTAAGTTAACAAGATGACAGTTTCACACTGCCATTTCCACATTGGAACTAGAGAATGTGAAAAAAAGTGCTGAAAACAAGTTACACTAGCAGAGTTTTAGACATTTATGGGAAGTTAAAGAGCCCATTAAAATAATGGAGTAAGTAGTCAAAAGATCCCTTGAACACATGACACCCCTACATTTTAATGAAAATTCCTTGTGTTTATATAGGGTCCATTTTACATGGAATACCAATACTGCCTATTTGTACAAAAAATGGTTCTTAAGATCAAAAAGACAAAGAGGAGAGACCTATTCAATATGACTAACAGAGTTCCCATTGAAGAATTACACCCGCAACAGAGGAGGAAGCCAACTGCTGTTTTTATACTTAGGCAATGTCAACTGCAAAAAAAGGTGGTGTTTTTACTGTGGAATAACTAATGCACATTAGCTATCCTGCTGTAAAATCCTACAGGAAACAAGGTACCTGTAGTTTTTAAATCACAAAGTACCTAGGTGACATCAATACAATATCCCCACCCATTGAAGAAATATGTAAACTTCCTTCCAATGCCTGTAACAGAAAAATAGCAGTGGCATTCAGTCAGTGTGGCTCTTCCTAAACAAGCTACAATTTAGCCCTTCCATTTTTCTCACCCTTCTTCCCATTTTTGCACCATTTAAATACTGAGGGCATTAGCTTCCAATAAAACATTTCCTTTTGCAGGGACAGGAAAAAGGATCATTCTCTGCCACATACTATATACACAGCAATAGATCCATAAACATTTGAACTTGGAGATCAACACACAAAGTTGTGCATTATACAGTGGTTACATATTGTTATTGTAAAAGATACTAATTAACTCTCAACAGTAACAAACTGCCAATAATTGTCTCATCCCATGCAGTTTTAAACAATCATTCAAGTGATGAAGCAGCAACAGGAACAGTTCTACTGATTTATACCAATGGCAAGTAGCACAATTAAATTGCTATCCTTAGCTTTGAGGTACAGGTGAGATGACTATAACTAGAGCCCTACCAAATCCACAGTCATAAAAAACGCATCACGGACCATGAAATCTGGTCTCCGCCCATGAAGTCTGGTCTTTTGTGTGCTTTTACCCTATACTATGCAGATTTCACAGGGGAGATCAGCATTTCTTAAGTTGGGGATCCTGACCCAAAATGGAG